ACGTATTTCTTTCTTTTCCCAAGCCAGTTGGTCTGATTGCTCTCCTTGCAGGAGGGTTTTATTCTTTGAGAACAAAGGTTGAAACTGAAAGAGTCATTTTGGGTGACTTCCTGTAATACACATTCTCGGACACCAAAAACCCCATCATTAACTAAGTACCGTAACAGCTTTCTGAGGTGGGGAAGTAGTGATATCCCTCCTCTTAAAAAATGGGGAACTTGAACAAATTGCTTGCGGAAGTCGGATGGAAATACCGTGTCTCTGTTAGATTGTCTTGCTAGAAAATCCTCTCCCTTGATTCCTCTGCAGCCTCTCAACCAGTGAGAAAGCTGGGCTAGGCTAAAGCACCCAATGGGTCTTGCCAGTTTTTGATGCCTGGCTTGGAGGAGCTCCAGCCACCAGCTCAATGGAGCTGACACAAGGCCATGCAGTATCTTTTCTTCAGTCAACCAACGTGGTAAGCCTGTTTTCTTTGCCCCCCAGAGTTTTAGCAGTGGCGATGAAGTGAGTGTGGAAGTGACAGTTCCTCCTTTTACCTTCGAAACTATCTAACGGGTCAAAAATACCCATTTGGGCTACGTGATTTCAGGTTATGTGATGTGCCATTTGTCAGCTAACTTTGACACAACTGCTTGGTGGGGTTTTTTGCAATTGTCATAGGTTTGTGCCAGAACTGCCTGGAAAAGCAATTGGTTGGGTTTTTATTCTTGGTAGGTGGTTGAAGTGGTACAGAAAACCCGACAACCAAACAGCAGCAGTGTTAGCACCACGAGAGTGGTATTTCTAAAGGGTGCCCATAGGTGCTTTCCAGCCAGTCTTCACCAGGTAGTTTTTTACCCAGTCACAATGTGGTTATCAAGCGGGATGATGACAGGCAGCCGCATCCTTCATTCTGTGCCCTGAGAGAGGAAGAGAACTTGTTGACAATCCAATGCTGCGTGGTCCAACACCAGCGATAGGACTAGTAGCCATTTAGCTTCAGCATGAGCAGAACAGCTCTCATTAAGGTCTGAATTTGGCCAGATACTTCTAAATGCAAAGCTGTTGCTAAGGTAGCGCAACCCACAGAGACAAGGAAGAAACAGTTTAGTCCTCCAACTCTGATGCTCTCCAGTGTGGGTTTGTTCCCTGTTCAGACTCCTGCAGTTTTGTTTCTCAATGCCTTCCCGAACTGTTTTCATAGTCCTTTAGATCAGGACATTGAGGACACATCTTGCTGACATACTGTTTGCCTGGAGAACCCGGATGGGTTCATGTTGGGTTCAAGTCCAGGTCATGGTGGTTTGCACTGATCAGTGTTGACAGGGGTGCAGGCAGCAGGTTTGGGAAGAGCAGGGGAACAGCTCCCGAGGATGCAGCCCTGCAGGAAGGAAGAGAGATTAAAAAAACAACAAAAGAAAAGAAGCAAGCAAAGGATTTATGAAAATCTGTGCTGAAGTACAATGAAATTAGCAGCTGGCTTTGTCAGAGCAGCCAGGAGCATTTTTGCAGAGCGATCTGTCTGGGAAGAGCCAGCATGTGAACTATGGAAGGAGATAACGGTGTTGTGGTGTTGGGTTTGGTTTTTTTCTATTCTTCCCTGGAGTGGAATTTTTGGATACTATGTTTTGCCACAAAAGCTTGGAAAGAGAAGATCAAAATGATGAAATGTCCCGATATAAAAAGGCAGGGAAAGCTGGTTTTCCAGCCTGACTTTGACACTGGCTCACAGTCCTGTCCTGGGCAGCTCATCAAACCTCTCTCGGCTTCCTTCTCTATGACCATTACAATGCCGTCTTCCAGGGGTAAGCATTAGGTAGACTTTCAGATTTGCAATTATTTGAGATCCTCTTTGGGGAAACACAGGGTAATTTTATTTTTTTTGTCCCTTAAGCGCTAAGAAAAGTGCCAAGCAATGTGTTGTGGTGGGGAGCAAGTTTAATAAAGAAGGTCTGTAGCATCCTTCGCCATTCGGATGTTTGTAATGCAACACTCGCAGGAATGGATGAGACCCACAGCCAAGACTTGTGAAGCTGAGTTGCTCTGAGATGGAGCTGCTGAGCATTGTGTGCCCAGTGTGCTCTGCTGAGCTGAGCAAACCCCAAGTGGGGATTACTGAAGTAAAAGATGGGCTTTCCTTCTGCATCACCCTGCATTTGCATTTGGAGATGTCACTGTCCTCTTCACAGTCTCTCTCCTCTCTCTTGTTTGACACTGATGTCCTCTCTTCTAAACCCAGCTCTCTCTATCCCCCTACAAGATGTTAGTGTTCCCCAAACAGGCAGCGGAGAGGCTCTGAAATGGTCTCTGACATTTAGTGAAGTAAACAGAAATGGCTGTTGAAGTATTCTCTCACTGCTCCAACTGGCTTGGCATTAAAAATCAGCACTGCTCAGGAACAGAAACTGTCCTGTCCTGCGGTTTCTAAGCCTCACACTTCAAGTGCAAGCTGCTTAACATATTTATACTCAGGAAAGCAGCCATCAGAGCTCCAGCAGCATCTCTGCTTCACGTTAAGCAAACCTTGCATTTTACAAACATATCAGCCGGGCATCACCTACTGCCTGTCTGTCTCCTGTCAGAGAGACATTATTCCTATTCAGCTCCATCGTGTACAGCCTGCTGCAGGGTACATAGAGGCTTTGCTGATAGAGCCTGGCAGGTAGCAGCGTCTGACTCTGAATCAGTCAGAGCTTCAGTTCCCCGGCAATTGAATTCCTGCCACAGTGGTGATATGAGTGCATCAGCCCAGGCCTTTCCTGTGCTGTTTTCAGATGAGTCTGCCCTTGGCTGGGGTTTAGTGGCTTTTTTGTCTGCTTCCCTTCTCAGACTTTGGATAACCCCACTCCTTGTGTTCTCTTTCTGATGCTGCAAGTGCCCTCCAATGGGTTAGTCATGTGTTTTCACTAGAAAAAGTACATAGCAAGCCCACAGTTGGGATAGTATTGACTAGGTTGACCGAATTCGCTTGTTCTGCTCATGGCTTTGGGGAAGTCTCTTGCGACGTGGATGGGTGGATGAGAGAAAGAGCTTCAGACTTGTCATTCCCAGTGTATGCAGCATTGGTCCTCTGCATTACTGATGTATCTGGGTACAGCTGCTCCGTGTGGGATGGAGCACTTGTTTCGTACTGGAGGGATGGGAGGTGGAGGGATGGTGCAGACAGTGGCATGGCATCACCAGCTGAGTGTGGCCATGGGGTAGACAAGGTTTGGGCTGTCCTGTCAGCATCTCTGGGCAGTGACATGGGTTCAGCTACTGCTGGGTCTGTCTGGCCATAGAGTCTGCTGGATCTCATGGAGGGGAGACGTGCACGCTCTGCTTGTGCTGGCTCACTCATGCATGTGAGCTGTAAAAACCTCAGGAAGGGGATCCCTCAGGCTCTGAAATGAAAACACCATGCTGGTTCCTGGGTGAGGCCCCACGTTTGAAATCAAGCCCTGCTGCAATATATGACCCGTATAGAATAAGGGAACAAAGGAAAGGCTGCTGACAGCTTTCAATGTTCCCATGGCTTCCATCTGCATCAAGTTAGCAGCAGTCCCATGTGCCATGGGTTCATGATGCTCTCTGTGGTGAGCATTCAGCAGCAGCACTGGCTTTGCCATTGTGCTTAGAGCAGACACCAGTGCCTGGTGTTCAGTAAAATGGCTTTGAGGACCTTGAGGAAGTATTTGGTGTAGGACTTTGTAAGTCTAGATGGAGGCGCGTGTGCATGTGCGTTTTTTCTTGCTTTAGGTGTTTGTGTCATGGAAATATTTTATACCACTTGCATCTGTATTGTCAGTGCTGAGGAGCTGGTTGAGGGATTCTGCATCTTTTCATCTGTAGTTTAAATCAGTCCTGTGTCAGGATGGACAAGTGAAAAGCGGGTTGAATGAGGAATTTTTGCACACCACTGGTTTGTAGCAGGCAGGGGAAGGAAAGGTTTGAATATGCCACATATACATATTATAAAGAAAAAAGTTTAGCCACTTATTTGAAAGTTGTTATAAAACATATCAGTTTTAATTTTAAAATCCTGGCTCCTGAGAGCCAATAACAAAAAATTGAAAAGAGGTGAAACTAAGAGAGAAAGGGAACACATCTTTTTTTCAGTGCGGCTTTTGTATAATTGTATCTTAAACAAATGGAGGATGACCATCAAACTGCTCTGTTAGTGTTCACAAAACTTGTACTGGACAGTTCTTGGCTTGGAAGCATTTAGGCATCAATTGAACTTGTGAGGTAAGTTGGGCACTGTGGCTGCTGCGGGAGGAGCTGGCAGGGATCAGCTGTAATCGCTTTTCGGATCTGAGCAGTTCAGATTTTTTACATTCTTTGTTTCTCTGTCCCTGGCTGGTTTGAGTTTTACATAAAGCACGTGTGTTCTGAATGGTGCTCTTCCTCAGCAGCAAATCTGCCCGTGGGGCTGATGCCCAGGGAGAGTGAAGAGGCATGGGATGGCCAACCAGGCTGGAGGGGAAAGAGTGCTCAGTGGCTTTCTGAACCAAAGTGCCATGAAGTCAGTGGGAAGAGCTTCTTCCATGTGAAAAATGTGTTCATGGTTTATGCTGATGCCGCCATCTGCCCTGAACCACTTTCCCTGCATGCACACACTCTGGTGTCCATTTTTCAGCAGCATCAGCAGAGGCGGGGAGGTCTCACCTGCCTTTACCTTGCTCCGAAACTGCTACTTGCATAGATTGAGCAGCATCCCCGGTGCCAGGAGCTGTTGTTTGGGAGCCTGTGCAGGGACACAGCTTTGCTCCTCAAATCTTTGCCTGTATTGCAGCACGGGATGCAAAGCAAAAATCCTTTGCCTGCTACATCGCAGTGTCAGAGCGGGGACAGCTGAAGCACAGGCTGTTGGGAAAGAGCAAGAGTGGAGTGAGAAGGGAAAATCTGAAGGAAAAGGCCTTCCCATCTTGAGCCATCCAGCCGCACATTTGGTCTTGAAGCTGAAGCTCTTCTTTTCTTCACCCTATCTTTTTAAATACAATGCTTTATCCCTGGTTCACAGCAGTTGCTTTCTGCTGCAGGCTACCGAGAAGGATTTCTGTGGAAGAGAGGACGCGACAACGGGCAATTCTTAAGCCGAAAATTCGTGTTATCAGAGAGGGAAGGTGCACTGAAGTACTTCAACAAAAACGACGTGAGTACCTGGGGTTGCTGTGTGCAGGGAGGGGATCACAACTGTAAGAGCATCTTTGAACAAGTAATTCTGAGGCCACCGTTTTATTTATGCAGTTCTCCTAATAACTGAGTCCCCCTTTGCTCCAGGACGAGGCACAGCTCACTGCTCACTTTAGTAGGGTTTGCTCTTGGGCTCCCACAGTCACGGTGAGACACCCGAACTGGCAATTTTAAGTGTTCCTGCTCTGTTGCCCTTTAAAGTTGATAAGGCTTTTCTGAAGCCACCAGCAAAGGAGTTCCCTCAGCTCTGTCTCTGCATCCTCCAGCTGACATGGGTTTCGTATTTATGGTTAGATTGTGATGAAAGTATCACCCCCTCTCAGTGGTAGCTGAGGTCTGAAACCTCCTTTGCGTGGTGTGGCAAGCAGTGCAGAGGAAAAGCTCCCTGGTTTTCTCTTCCAGCGTCAAGCAGTGTGAAAGCATTTGTCTTCTTCCCTAGAGCACTTTTCATTTACTGTAAGTGAGAAATGGAGCTATTACCATGAAAATTGCATTTGTGATGAATGGATAGACACTCTACTGCTCTGCACCACGTAATGGAGGAAGGCAGGGTGTTTTCCCTGACCTGTGGGTCTGCTGGGAATATCACAGCTGGGAGCAGACCAGACTGAGCCACCAGCCAGTTTTCTCAGGTAGTTGATGCAGTCATAGTGCCGTGATGAGCCACCCCATGCAGAGGAGGAGCATCCATCCACTCTTCTGCACGCTTGGCAGCCAGCTTCAATAGCACTTTCTTCTCCTTCAGCCTGGCGTGGTATGGTGCAATGGCATCTTGAGGACAGGAAACAGCCAGTCATTACAGAGAGAGAAGTGAAAGTCCCATTTAGTGGCTGTTGATGGCTTCAGGAGTTTAAAGCTGCTTTGCTTTGTTGTTGACCATAACCATGGTGGAAATGGCAATGTCCAGACCCATCCTCTTTGCTGGGACTTCTCCAGGGTCACCCACAATGGCTGTTTGTCCACGGCAAGTCCCCAGGTTTCCAAAAGAGCAGTAGCATCTCTGCCAGCTCAGGGACTTCTTGCGTGGTGCTGGGGACCATTGCACTACTGCACCATCTTCTCTTGTCCCCTGGCTGTGCCCTAAATCTGGTGGTACAAAGAGCCTAATCTTCATTTTTTGGGATGTTTTATTCTTGCTTGCTAGTTCACTTCTCAGTGCAGTCCTGAAAGGGTGGTAAACTAGAGATGCCTTGTAGGAAGACCAAGTGCACTACAAAGTTCAAGGGAACTGCCACAGACGGTGCAGGTGGTTTTGGTGTCTGGGAGGGCCTGGTCTAGGCTCACCGTTGGGCTAACACACCCAAGAGGTGGGCTATAAGGTATGTATTTGTCCCGCTGAAAGGAAAGTTCACAGTTTGGAGGGCAAAAGGACGGGCAGAGTCAGAAGCCAATGCCTCGTGTGAGAGGATAGGACATGGGGGGTATGAGCATGATGCCCTCTGCCAGCCTAGCACCCAGGTCTGAAGTTGGCAGTGGGGATAATCCTCCATCTTCTTGGGAAAGATGAACTGGGTGTGGGTGCTTGAGATGCAGAGAGCAGCCTGGCCTATTAATTAGCAGTGTGTGTATCTGGCTGAATGGTTTTCTTTCTTCTTTGGCAGTGCTCATCCCAGAGTAAATGCTGGTCACTTATCATTAGGTAAAGGGTCTGGAGAGATTAGGAGTCAGGAGACAGCTGAACAGAGGCATGGTGAAGATGCTTGCCTTTATAGCACAACATCTAGTCATGAGAACTGGTCTGTCCATCTTGCTGCTGGGCTGAAACCTTCCTCCCCTTGAACTCCACTGGATTTTGCAGGAGAACAGAACGTTTTTCCAAGCTGGTAGAAAGCACTCGCTGACACGCAAGCAAAGGCTTTGATATCTCATCAATGGGCAGTTTTGTGGGCTGGGAGTCATCTATTTTTTTTTAGCTAATGTCCTCAGTCAGGGATTTTGTGACCAAGTGAACTGCATTCTGCTTTGAAAGCCAGTTCTCAGGTGTTTGCTCACTCAGCTGTGTTTTCCAGGCGAAGGAACCCAAAGCAATTATGAAGATCGAACATCTAAATGCAACTTTCCAGCCTGCAAAAATCGGGAACCCACACGGACTGCAGATCACTTACTTGAAGGACAATAGCACAAGGAACATCTTCGTCTATCATGAAGATGGCAAGGTGAGAGCAGGGAGGTAACAAGGAGGGTTGGGTTGTGGTCCTGGGGGTTGATGCTGAGGTCCCAGCCCTCCTGAAGGCGTTTGCAGTAGATGCCATCTCACAGCCTTAATTTTCAGCTCTTTCTTCCCTCTGCTGAATATTTGGGAGTTCTCATAAAATACCATCCATCGGCCCTGGAGTGTCCACAAAATCAGCGCCTAAAGCTGTCGTGTTCGCATCGCACCTACTTTCCTCTGGCTGTCATGGTGCCTCCAGCCTTTTTGGTACATCCCCTTCAGCACCCTGCCTGTCAAAGAGGCTTTGTGGGGACAATCCCTCCTAGACTGCAGGGCAGGGATTTGCGGGATTGTCTCAGTGCACAGCCTGTTCCCAGCTGCTCACCCAGGCGCAGCAAGCCAGACAGCCCTGCTGGGGATAAGCAGTATGTGCTCAAAGCCGTCGCTGCTCTCCAGCCTGTATAGGTCAGTAATGCCACCAGAACACTCTTCATTTGTGGATGAGCAAAGCTGATCTCACCTGTGTTGCTGCTGAGGCTCCTCCGGGTGCTGTGGAGCCAGATGCTGCCTGTTGTGCTCACAGGCTGAATGTGGCTCCTGTGTAGTTCAGGTGCTCCTGGCAGGAAGCAGTTAGTGCATCAGGATGTGTTAATTAGTTGCATGGAATGGTTTTGTACATGTAGATAAATGTGCATGTAATACGCGTGTGTGTGCATGCATATATGCATATAAGACGCATAATAGATCGTCAGCCTGGCTGGCCTCTCACACTCTGCAGCACCGCAGGGTCTTGCTCCGTCTGTTTGCAGGTCCTGGAGAGCTGTTCCAGCAGGAAGATGTGTCATGGGCTCCGACCATTTTAAAGGATGCTGTTGTGGTCCCTTGTTAGCACTTACCCACCACCAGAGCCAGGCAGGGTGAAGCTGAGGCACCCGCTGAACTGGTGCTTCTTGCTGGGGCTGTCCCTCCTGTGGGCACGAGGCTGAAGCCACCCTTTAGCAGCACCCAGATCTGCATCTGGATGTGGGAGGCAGGAAAGCTGCAGAAGTGGGTTTCCGTGCTCCGAGCTCCTATCCAGGGCTGAAGCTCCCTCTGCAGGACCTCTAGCAGTCATGGCTGGAGCAGCTCAGGGAGCTGCCGTGAGCTGCTGCCATCCCATCACCGATGGGATGCTCGAAGATGGGCTGTCTCCAGGAAAGGCCAGCCTTTAGGGTGCGAACCAAGATCTTTGGATGTTCTCTGGATAAATTAGCAAAATGCTTTTCCCCAGTGCTCTTCCTTTCCTGAGCCACACCAGGAGCTTCCAGGATGGGAGGAGGGGGCATGACGGAGTGAGGAGCAGCAGCAAGCAGGCTCCAGTGCTTGAGCTCCAGGGTTGGATGAACTGGAGGTGCAGTGAGAAGTAGTTGCATTTTTATCCGGGGTTGTCAGTCTGAGACTACCATGGCAATGTGGGTGGCTCTGGTACAGGATGGAAAGGCACCAAGGTGGCACGTGGAGGGGGGTGTCTGTGGTGGCATTGCAAGCAGAGCAGAAGGAAGCTGAGAGCCTAGAAAAGCCATTTGCAAAGGTGCAGGGCAGGAGTTCATTTTCTCTGCTTGCTGTGGGGCATAACTTGGAGAAAGGAATCTCCACTAATGAGCTGATGAGACACCACCTTCCCATCTGAAAACACTGAGCAGTTCAACATCGGTTTAATACACCAGATATGATCTCCTCACTCCATCTGTGGCATTGTTCGTAAGTATACAGGCAGGAGAAGTTTAGCAACTGAGCCCTCTGGCTTTGCATACCCAGGTATAGGGTTGTGTAAAGAAAGGTGGTGGTGTTGCTTCCTCCAGCAGTGGATGATCAGTATTCTGAGAAGCAGTCATCTACTGGAAGCCAGTGAGGGTTTCAGCTTCTGCTTTTCTGCAGGATGAAAGCCTACCTCACATCACAATCAAGGAGGAGACCAGCATATATATATATATATATATATATATATATATATAGTTTTCATAGTTACACAAATATATCCATATCCATCCAGTTGGTTACTGTATGAAATATCAACACCTTAATATTGCTCATTACCTCCAGCCTGGTTTGATCATCATTTACGTCAGGAGCCTGACTCTTGCTGACTCTCTGTGCAGCTCTCTGGGGTCTGCTTAGCTGCTTAGGGTAGGAAAGCAAGTGATAAGTAAGTAAAACCTCAGACAAGTAGGTTAGAGTTTTCAAAAACATTGTTTCCCTATATCCTATTATGTTTTCTTCCTTCCTCTTGAAGTAGATTAACAAACCAAAGCTTTTGAACTTCCAGGGGGTGGCTATTTGTCATGTTAGACCATTTTTGAGGTCCCCCCCCATTCCAAAATCACACGGAAGAGCCTTCCCCTTGCCCACCCCAAATACCTTTTAAAGCATGAAAAAGTTTAAATCTTTTTAAAGATCCTGAAGGCTGACTTCTAGTTTGATAGGGTCTTTCTTATGCTGCGGCGACCTCAGCTGAGAGGGTTGGCTGTTTATTTGAGGATGAAGCCTGGTCCACTGAACTTGTCCCTGATGTGTGGTGTGGCAGGCAGAGGTTCAGCATCCCTTCTCCCTGCAGCTCAGCATCCTGGTGCGGGCAGCCGGTACATCTTCCTTCCAGTGTGCCTTTCTTCTGCCCATACCTTTAGACTGCAAGGCAGTGTCTGACAGCTCCCTGTGCGGATCACTTCGAATTAATGTGGCATTTCTCAGTGAAGCCTTCAAAAAGGCACCCGGTGTGGCACAAGCTCTGAGGGTCTCACCAGAAACAAAGGAATCATTGAGTTTTAAGGCAAAGAAATCATAAAACAACTGTTTTGTAGGGGAAAACCAAAACCAACTAACCAGCAACAGAAAGCAAAAGATGGAGAGATTGTTGCCAAGGGAAGGAAGAAGAATTGGGAAGTGAGCTGGGACTTCATTATTGCTGTGTTTGTCCCTCGAGGAATCACAGATATGACTGATAGACTGGAGTACAAAGACGAAGAGAGATTTAGCCACTCTTAGCAAAAGATGGGAGTATGTTGCAAAAATTGCAGTGGATTCAGGCGTTCTGTGCTTGTGGCTGCTGACCGGTTGGCGGCAGGCTGCAGAGGTGGCAGGCTGCCTTTGCACTGCCAGCGTGAGCTGAGTAGTGTTTATAGGATCAAGCTTCCTATCTCAAATGCTGATTTGTTGCTGGTTTTAACAGTTCAGAGATGTGCTCAAATCCTTCCCTCTGCAGAAAGCCCCCTGGTGCTCGCTGCAGAGCTCCGCGCATGTCCTGTTCCGCAGCCTGGGGCAGCAGCTGGATGCTCCCCATCCTTCCCCCGTTTGCTGCTCCCTTTTATGTCTGTATTCTGTTCTTTTTAGGACTGCTGCCAAACTGCACTCTGTCACCTGGGACAAAGTGATGGAAGAGATGAAACACAGCAGGACCGTGTTATTTTGTGTGCAAAGTACGTTACTCACTGTGCTTTTCTTTCATTATTAGGAAATAGTGGACTGGTTCAATGCCATCCGCGCAGCACGGTTTCATTACTTACAAGTGGCATTCCCTGGAGCCAGTGACGTTGATGTGAGTTTTCCTGCAGTTTGGTGGTTGTTGGGTTTTTTCCCCTTGCTCTTTTTTAGCATTTTGTAAGCCAGCTGGAAAGCCCGGGGCATACTATATCCTTCGGAGGGTTTTACAATTACTGGGTTGAAATTCTTGCAGTGGGATGTTGAGCCCACGTGCAGCACCTGTTAGAACATCCATCCAGCCTTGGAAACCATGTGCATGTGCATGCACACGTGCTCAACCCTCAGGATGTGAGTCGTGCTTATGAGTAACTCCAGCGCTGTCACACGTGCAGAGGCCATGAGCATCTTTCTCGAAAGTTGTTGCTGTAATATTAAAAGCTGAAACAAAGGCTGCAGGGTAGAAAAGATGAAGGCAAAAGAATGCCAGTGCTGCACCCAGGTCTCCGGGATGAGTTGTTGTGTGCAGGTCAGTGCAGCCTGTCTTATATCTCTGTCTTGTATTTTCCGGGAGCTGGAACTGCTAATTGCATTACCTTTTGCTAATATAATACTAGAGGCATTATTAATGCAAGCTGAGAGTAAGTGTTCTGGGTTGCAGTTGCACTCCCATTGGTGTGTAATGTCACTGGTTGTTGCTGATTACTCTAGAGCTAACCAGGAATAGTTGTATACTTTCCTTAATCATTTCTACCCGTCTCCATATTCTCTCCTTCTCCTAAAATTGGCTGGCACATCTGAATCAAATTGCCCCCCAAAATCCCTCGGACCATAATAGAGTTGGTGAGTGTTCATATGCTCACCCCCCTGGCAGTTTCGGTGGCAGATAGGTTACTGATGTTTTTACTTATCCCCTTCTCATCGGTTACTCTTTGGAGTAAGCAGAGGACTGTAATGTTTAGCAGCGTTCAAGTTTTGACTTTGGAATACTGAACATCCCTTCACAGCATTCAGCTTGGGGAGACCTCTGTGAAGACTGCGTTATGTACATGAGGTAGCTCCAGCCGGGGTGTTGCCATCATTAGCATTTGATTTATGAGTCCTTTACCCTGTCAGAGAGATGAAAAGGCATTAAATTTAAACAGGAGCCTGGTTAAATGCAGTAGAGAGATATAAATTGCTCACACCACCCTAAGGATGCCCAGGCTGCCTCTGCAGCTCCTAGGGGGCGAGGGTCTCTGATGGATGCTTTGAGGACCCATCTGCAGGGTGGGAAACCTCTCTGAGCTGAGGGTGATGAGCGCCATGCTTAGCAAAATGTCCTCATCCCTGTCCCAGAAGCCACACATAAGGGCTATGGATGCTGCAGAGCCCTTCACTGCCTATAATGAAGTGTCCAATACAAAGATGCTCCCAGCTGCTGCGGAACAGCTTTGTGTTCTTTGGATGGGTGTATTTTGGGGTGTCTTTGCCTTACAAGCACACACCTGCTCAACCTGTTTAAATAAAAGGCAGGAGCAGGGGCGGGGAGGCACGTGCCCAGGTTCATCGGCCCTGTTTTTGGTGAGACTCATCATCTTTCAAGAGGCTTTTAGAGGCATCTGCTAAGATCTCGCAGCTACTGCCTTGTCTTCACTAAGCAGCGTTAAAAATATCCCTGGTGCTGGTAGCTGTTGTCAGCAGTATCTGCAGGAATGGGGCATGCACAGGCAGTGTGTGTTAATGGGGTTTTACAGGGAAATTATACTTCAGGGCTTGTGTGAGGAGCATCCACTGCATCTGCTGGAGGAGATGTATCACCAGAGCTGACCCATGAAGTGGGATTTGGTCTGGGGGCTTCTTCTGGAGGCTGCTGGACAAGTGCTCCAAGATGCGTCGTGTTTCTGCACCCCTCTCTTCTGAGCACTTTGGAGGGGTGGGACTGAAGTGTTCAGCCAGAGCTGATGCGTGAGCTTGGTGGGGGCTTTCCTTTCAGTGACCCCCTGTCCACGCAGGGACCCTCAGCTTCCTCTATCTGACACTGCTCTCTTTTCTCTCCTCTTCGTCTGCCTCCAGCTGGTGCCAAAGCTTTCTAGAAACTACCTGAAGGAAGGCTACATGGAGAAAACGGGGCCAAAGGTAGGGTATAAAACATTTCTGCAGCCCCTCTAAGCATGAATCCTGCTCTTTATGGGGCTGAGAAGGGTGCTCTGGTGGGACAAAGACACCCTTGTTGGAGAGGCGAAGCCTTAATGCCATGAATGTGTTAATAACACTTGGGAGCAAACATTTACAAAACCCAAACCCACTTCACAAACCAACCACACCATCCCCATCTTCCCTTTCACTGCCTGTTCCTGCAGCCCCACCTGCTATAGCTGGCCAAGTGGCTTGTGGTGGCTCATGGTAGCCCAGAAGCTGCCTGTTCTCAACTTTCCCAGCCCATTGGGTTCCAAGTACATTGATGCTCCTGGTAAGAGAGGAGCTGCGCTGCTTTGGTATGTAATTGGCATTTTTTGACCCTTCAGCAAACAGAGGGATTCAAGAAGCGATGGTTCACCATGGATGACCGACGGCTCATGTATTTCAAAGATCCCCTGGTAAGATGAAGGTTCCTGGGCTGGGAATTGGCAATAATAATAAATGATACCAATCTGCAGTGAAGCTCAGGCACTGAGCCATCATTGCTACGTGGATCTGCCTGGTATCAACATGCAGTAGCTCTGTGCACAGATATTCACCAAAACCACTTTGGAAACCCTGTGCACCAGCTGCAGATTTTTCTGGATTTTGGATCCCGGGTGCTGGTCCTGCATTGTGAGTGCCCTGGGAGGAGCTGGAGCAGAGCTTTGTGGGGTGGCTGGTGCTTTCAGTGTTTGGCTGCTGCACTTCGCTGATGGAGCTTCTAGATGGTGCAGGGTGCTTGAGAAGCAGAGCTCCCCTTCCCCATTAAGCCTGCCTGACTGCTCTGCTGTATCCTAGGATGCCTTTGCTAGAGGGGAAGTTTTTATTGGGAGCAAGGAAAACAGCTACAAGGTCCTGGAAGGGCTCCCACCATCCACGCAGGGAAACCACTGGCAGCACGGGATAACCATTGTCACCCCGGATCGCAAATTCCTCTTTGCCTGCGAGACAGAGGATGACCAGCTGGAGTGGATTACAACCTTTCAGAAAGTTATAAGCCGGCCGATGCTGCCTCAGGAATACGCAGGTGTGTTTGCTGGCAGGGCTGAAATCAGCCTTGACCCCCCCTTTATTCCCCATGTGTTAGAGGATGGGAGGAATGGAGGGGGATCGGGGATACAGCGGCATTGCTCCCTCCTCTGCGGTGCGAGCAGGGCAGCCCTTCCTCACCAGGGGAGGATGCAAAGTCTGCCCAACCACAGGAGTTCTGGGAGGAGGAGGATGGTATCCTATCCTCCTTCATCCCTTCAGACATGATGGCCATGGTGCTATATGGCTGATCAGTCACCCAGTTACAAGGATAATTGAAGCCAAGGAGGATCAGCAAGACAAGGGCCATCCACAGGGAGGGCTTGCAATTGTGCTATGGCCACCTGCCAGCATTGGTCCTGCTTTTAACTTTATTTTCTCTGTTTTCTTTTCTTTCAGTGGAAGCCCATTTCAAACATAAACCTTAGCTGGGACTGGCTGGGCAGACCTGAGGAGTGAGCTTCTGTTTACAACACAACGTGGTTTTATTTCAAATGTTAAAAATAATGAATAATAATAACAGTAATAATAATAATACTACTACTTCCCTTTCCCCTCATCATTCACTTGATCATGTCGGAAACCAAGAAGGGTGGCAGTGAAATGTCGGATGCAGATCCAACCCAAAATTCAGCTCTGTGGCTGCTCCATGGGATGCGCTGCTGGGACAAGTAGTCCTGTGACCCCAGCACCCCCCACCTGCTGAAGGGGGTGTCCCACCAGCTTCAGCGGGACAGCAAAGACTGTTGGTGGCACATCTGGGGGGACATGGGTCTTTTCCCCTTGAGCTGGTTCCTGGGGGCTGGAGCTGAGCATGCCCACAGCCCCAGCTCTCACCAGCCTCCTTTGTAGGGGAGGAACAGGGGCATCCTCATGGGATGTGAAGCAGCAACCTGGAAACACCCAGAGTGGTGATGTGCAAAATGGCTGAACCTCCTGATGGCATCAGGGTAAATGATAAGTAAATTACCTCACCTGGGGAGCGGTGGTGATGCTGGACCCAGGCTCAGGGTCAAACAGGATTTAGAAATAGAGGAAATTGGCATCATTGTCCTTGTCACCTGCTTAATGAAGGAGGAGTGGTGCCCAGTGTGGACAGAGCAGTGCTGTCTCCAGCCCTGCAAGGGGGACACCAAGCCACAGGATGATGCCAGGGAAGAAAAGCTTCTTGGGTTAGGGCCCATGCTCTGCTCCCCGTGCCATCCCCATTCCATGGCTGGGGGATTCACACCATGGGGAGTGGGAGGTGCTGAGCTGTAGGTGCAGTTTTGCTGACAGTCTGTCCCAGGCCAGTCCCTCCAGCCCACAGCACGCTGCTACTCCAGGCTGGTGATGGCACTTTTTCTTTCAGTAATTCCCTCACTTACTTTTCTCTTTTTTTGTTGTTGTTGTCAATTTTTGTTCATTTTGTCAGTTTCCCTGCCAAAAAACAACCCAATATAAGCTGCTTTGAAGTGACGTTTCAGCGCGGTGTTGAGCACTGTAATTCCTGTGGTCAGGGCGGGCGGGCTGGGACCTGCACACCATGTGCTGGATTTTTACCCCCAAATGAAAAGTACCAGCCCCAGATACGGACCTGTCCCACGCGTTCCTTAGGTTGGTGTGTGTAAATGAGAGCATCTCATCGGCTGTATGCATTCGTTCTGTCACTGGTAAGACACCTGTGGTACTAAATGTCATTTGAACCAATAAATTATTATGTCAGAGCTGTAGCCTTGTGGTGCTGGGGCAGGGGGAGGGAGGTGGGCTTAAAATACAAGTAGGTGATGGTGCTGGCAGCACACTGGGGACATGGGACACCCACAAAGCTGCCTCATCCCCCAGGAGGAGCTGCTGCATCACACGTGTGTCTGTTTATACCAGGTAAATATACTTCATGTAAATTACACAATTTATGTATATAGCGTGTTATACGTATTTGTGTATGTGTGTGTAATATGGAGTGTATATTGTATATGTTTTATATATAATATTGATAGTATTTATGCACACACATGCACAAAAGATATATATTAGGAATATAGAGATGAATAGTTAATAAATAGCAGTAGAATAACTAAATAGGATAATAGGAATATAGAAATAAATTTATTTCCATATTCTTAGGGATACAGAATTAGTTGCTGAATTAGGAATACAGAATTAGTTTAGCAACTAAACTGTGGATAGTAGAGATAGCATAATGTATAATACACTTTTATGTATATGAGCTGAATATAGTTCATATGCACATGTGCATGTATATACGTAGCCATCATTAGATGTGATTTACGAACGTATAAGCTAAATGTATTTTATACATACATCTGTATGTGTAGACATGTTTATAACTGCAGGAAGTGTTTATATATTATATACATGTGTATGCTTTTCAAATAGGTATAAAATATATGACTTAATTATAAAGAGAAATATATTGCATATAAACATACATATATCCACCTGCATTTGTGTATGCGTAACTATACATATATATTTAATTTGTATTAAAAGTCACAGTCTGACAGTTACTTAAAACCCCAGGCCTGTCAGGAGCAGGGAGGGGACAGGCTGGGCTAGTTGAGTTTCTAGCTAGCTGTAAAGATTGTGTGTGTACATAATTAATAATTATTAATAAGTTCTATGCCATGCCATTATTTAATTATAAATTATTCTATATCCAAAAGACTGTTTATATGTTTGTATATATACATTTTACATGTGTGTGTGTATATATATTTTAATACATATTTTCAACACACATGTATGTTCTGTACACACCACTGTAATTACTGCACCTGTATTTTGTCCCTAGAACCTGCCTCTGGGCACACTGCAGGTACAGCCCGCGCCCAGCAGCAGATGCACAGTGTGCTGTGGTGCTGTGGTTTGGGCTGGGTGCACAAAAGGTTCAAATCAGGGTGTTGCTGGCAGAGCCAAGGTGATGAACACTGAACTCACCTCAAGCTGAATCTGCAGGACACAGGAGGGGGCTGTTGTTGAAGGACACTATTAAATGGCTATAGCACCATCCCAAGTAGGGGTTCTTTCCTGCGCTTGCTGCAAATCAAAGCAATCCACGTCGGCTCTAGACATTACAACACCCAACTAAAACTAAAGCAATGCCTTTACTGCACAGAGGTAAAGATGCAACACTAAGGTCTCAACCCACAGTTACATGTAGAGGGGAAAAAACAGCAAGAAAAGTAACATCTCAAAAACGCTTAGAAAGCAGCAATATCGCCCATCCTGGTATAAAGTGTTTATTTGAGACTTCACAATTAACACAAAGTCTTCCTTTCAATGCCTTTTCTTTTTCATACAGTCAATAGATTTGTATTAATCCCTCCCCCATGCATGATTGCTGTTTATTAATCTAAGCTTTTTTATTTTCATCATGAAAAAATAAAGCGTTTCCCCACCATTTCATCTGTTCATGGTACCACTGCCATCTGCTGTGCTGCATTAAAGAGGAAAAGATGTAGAATGGCTATGCCTACCACTGGGGCTGAAATTACTCCATTATTTATTGATCTATCCTTTTCTTACAGAAAGTGTTAAATGAATGAATCACCCAAGAAAAATAAATATATCATAAAGAACCAAAGGCTCTGCAGTATCCCTTTTCTTAACATACAGCTGCAGTTCAAACACATACGTTGCTCGTGACAAATCAATTAATTCATTCACTACAGTGCTGTCACCTTTACATATGGTTGTGAATTTAGGCTGAGAAAGAATCTGTTCCAAAGGAGCCATGAGCCAGAGGTGGCATCTAGATGCCAAATTTTTGTACCTAGGCAAAAAGAGATCCTCATGGAAGCCAATTACCTACATTCAGCTGATCAGTTTTTACTGAAGGGCAATTCAATCTTGTGCTTTTCAGGTAAATACACACATGGGGTCAGCCAGAATGAAAGGCAGTATGAACGGCGTGCATGTTACTCACAGCAGTGGGCGTGAGTTCTTGGTATCAATGTCTCTTGGTCGTGCATCTCAAATTACGCTCCTTGGCTCATCTCACAGTACTTTTGGCACCAGCCTCACACATAAATTACTCAGTTGGTCACCTTGCCTTTTGAGATCATCCTTGGAGATGACAGAAGTCAAGGAGGCTTTCTCGTAACAAAGACGGTAGTGGATAGGCCATGAAATACAAGACCCATATTTATGCTTTATTGAATTACTGTGCAAAAGGGAATACTGCATCAGAAACCATAGAAGACTATATTTTAATCAGTCACCAGCTGCTGTTACCAGAAACCTGCTAACAATTGCTCCAATTGGTTCACTTGGCTACTTTTTGTTGTTTTCTTTTTTTTTCTTTTTTTACATAAATAATATAGACCAAACATTATAAACATTTCAGCAACCATTTCTAAAAGAAGACCAAAGGAGCCCTTTTAGGTGCCAAGAAACAACTGCAGGATTCAAATTCCAAAACTGTCTTTGGAGTCATCGAATCATCAGAGTGACACGGCACCCAATGACAACATCATTCAGTCGAGCTCAATCGGACTGCTATCTTCCTGACCATCTTCTGTGTCATCATCTTCTCCAGTTCCCATCAGACTGTTTAAAAGATTTCCTAGAATAAAATGCAGGACAGTAAAATTTGCTAGTTTTGCATTCTCATCTCAAAATCTTTTTAACTGTTTTCCTTCCGTCCTGCTAGGGTGCAGACTGCAATAATAAATTGAAAAAGAAGGGGGGATTTTGAAATAAAGGCATCTCAGCAAGACATTAGTATTCCTACACTGGTTTCCATTAAGAATTTATTGATTTGGGAAGCTGTATTTTGATACTGATCCTTCTCTAAGAGTACACTGGAAAAGAACACCGAATTCTCATACTTACTTACTATAGCTACACCCCGACAGGAGGAAAAAGAAATACAACCAAATGAGGGAAGTCACACCTCCAGTAGTAAAACTCTCAGAAAGCAGCAATGGTCTGCATTACGCTATAAAGAACTTGTTTGAAAGTCGGAGACATTTATGAGTTCTCCCTGTTTTATCAAATTTAAAAATGCTTGAATTGCTGAAACGCCACTATTTACTTATGGGATCTATGATGATGTTTTTCATCAAACTTTGGGTATCAGTGAACTGGCATTTACAGGTAAAGCCTCAAGTCAGTTTACAAACAGAGAAGCTTAGTTCTCAAGGAAAAACGTTTGATTTTACAGAAGTAATCCAGTTCAATTTGCTCATATTTTATTCAAGATCAAGAGAAATTCAGCCCTCATTTCCTGTTCATTTCTTGTAGAAGGGGCAGTATAAATTTCAGAACTTCTACTCTGAGAACATTCTTTTCACATCAGCACTGGTTAGATCTCTACCAAAGTCCCAGATTCAACTTAAGAAAAATGAGCCACTTAAGTCTGAGGAAATTAAGCTTTAACACAAATGAGATTTTCCTCTGCATTTGGAATTTGTACCATAATGTCAAAAATTAAACATGAGAGTCTTTTACATGCTTCTCTCCTTCTCAAAGATAAAGAAAAGCCTGGTGGTATCCATAAACAACTGTCAGTATAACCTTACCTAGTAACCCTCCGT